ATGTGCCTTTGGTCTTTTCAAGATGGGCATAAGACCAATCTCCGTGGGGAGTTTCATGACACAGTTACACATCCGGATGAAGCTCTATCTCTCTCTTTTTTCACAATTAATTTACCAAGTCATCAAATTTTGTTAATGTGTCACCGTATAAATGCAAATGAAACTCAGATAAAGCCACCGAGACTGGCACAGTCTGGTCAAATTTTGGCTCATTCTGTCCAGATCCCAAAGCCATGCTATCGGCAAACAAAGTGTACTCTCCTATTTTTAAAAATATATAGCGCTACCTATGAACCGTTTATTAATTTGTCCTAAAATTCTCATATTAAAAGTGAAGGGAGTACTACTCCCTTTGTTCCTAAATAAATCGATTCCTGGAATTGTCTTTAGTCAAACTTTTCAAACTTGATCTAATTTGTAGAAAAAAAACATCAAGATTTATGATATCAAACTAGTATTATTAGATGTACTATAGAATATATTTTCATAATATATTTATTTTATGTTATAAATGTTGTTACATTTTTCTATAAAGTTAGTCAAACTTAAAAAAGTTTAACTGGCATGGATTCTAGAAATTGATTTATTTGAGGACAGATGGAATATTTCTCAGTGTGTGGTTTATTTAGTTAAAGACAAACCAAATCAGGGCAGGGTAGACTTCTTAAATCAGTTTATAAACACACGTAAATTCACATTATTCGAGTATAGATCAGAACATCTCTCGATACAAAAATAAAAAAAATTAAAAAGGATATAAGCGCGCGCAGACGCGCACACACACACTTCTTCAACGCTTGATTTGTACTTGATACAAGAACGCCGAGGCCCAACGGTTCCTACCTGCAAATATCGGTAGCCCAAATCAAGACCTGGCGCACACACGAGTTGAAAGAACAAATCAAGCAGCAGCCACGACGATTTGCTGCTTCGGTTCAGGCAGTTGATCGATGATCAATCAGTTGTGGCCGTGCTTCTTGGCGTCCTTCTTCTGGTGGTGCTCGTGGAAGGCGAACCCAGCGGATCCCACGGCGGCGACGGCAGCCACCTCCTCCTTGATCCGGTGGCCGTGCTCGTTCTCCGGGTCCTTCTTGGCCTTGTGCTTCTCATGCTGCAGTCACATACACAGGAACACATCGATGCATACCAGATCAAGAGCTGAATCATGCATCGATCAGGCGATCAATAAAGAAGTTGGATTTTGTTCTCACCAGAGCATATGCGCCGGCAGCAATGGCGCCGAGCTCGCCGAGCTGCTCCATGTGCTTGTGGTGCTTCTCCTTCTTCTCGTAGTCGACCTCGCCGGAGCCCTCCTCCTCCTTGCGGTGGTGGAACAGGTGGTGGTGGTGCTTCTCCTCAGCCATGGCTCGTCAAATGTTTCTCCGTGAGCTTGTGAAGTCAATGGAGCTAGAGATGACTTATTTGGATGAAGGAACCGTGGTGCCTAATGACCAGCATTTATAGGGGTGGAGTGGATGCTGCAATGGAACAAGTGGCCTGCCAACTGTTCATCGTTCGGCCAGCGCAGTCGGAGGGAATTATTGGGTTTGAAATATTTGAAGACTTTTAGTTTATAAAATCCCCGCGTTATAATGAGCACAGTATCGTCTAACCACTTTTAAGGCTCATTAGAGACGAAAGGCATATAGCTTTGTTTATGCACTTAAATATACATTATATATAGATACATAATAAAATCAAAGTATCTACAAAAGTAAAAACATATTATATTTTAGAAAGGAGGAAGTACATAAAGGAATAAAAGTTTTTGGAAATTTTTGTTGGAGCTTTCTACGAATTTCAAAATAAAAGTTTGAGGAAACCTGTGCTCGAAAGTTTTTCGATGTTATGAGGAAACTTCATGAATTCAAGTAATTGTTTCCACGAGTTGTAATTAAGTTTTTTTCTCAATTTTTTTTAATTTCTTTGAATTATTGCCCATATATAGTTAAATTAACCATTCAATTATTGTACGAATCATTTATATTCTAGTCTCTGTGTTTAAAATTATAGTTCACCTTACCTTTGTTTTAAGTAAAACTTAAATTTATAGAAAAATGTATCAACATATGTATAATTATATAATTCACCAAATATGTCTTGATAGCTAGTGGATTTATTTGAGGTTTTACATATTAAATATTTTTCTATTAAATTTTGGTTAAAAAAATAAGAGCGATTGAGAAGAACTAAAAACATAATTTTTGGAACCAATGGATTTTTTTTTTGTTTGGTGAAAAAGTCTTTGTTCATTTGATTCGTTGTGAAAAAGAAAAACGTTATTCATTCATTTGAAATAATACGACTCATAATACAAACGAACAGGGACACTATCCTTACCTCCTAAGGAACCTAGCAAGTTTTCCAACCAACCAACGTCCCAAGTCCGTTTCCGTGCGAAGCAGAGCAGCACATGCATGTCGCCGTCCGGCTGATGAGGCGCGTGCGCGGGGCGGCGAAGGAAACCAGTGCAGGAGCATTTAGACCGGCGCCATCTCAACAGCCACCTGCTCTTGCATTGACTAATCCCACGATGAGTACGCAAGAAGATAATAACCAAGAAATTATGTTGTTATCGAATTATTAGACTATTACTATCTTTTTCCCTACCAATGCTGACTAGGGGGGTTTGCCAATATAATTCTACTTCCTCCGTTTGTGTTACTTTGTCAAGAACTTTTTTTCAGAGTAAATTTGACCATCTGTTTTTCTTCTAAAAAATCTTAGATACTTCAATGTATATAATACTAATAAAGTATATTCAATAAAGAATCATATATGTGAAAACTTGATGTATCTAAAAATCTTTTGTAGAAAAAAACATACGGTCAAAATTGATACAATAAAAAATCGGTGACAAGTAAACGAAAACGGAGGCAAGTACATTTCTACCCATGGGTATTGTTATTCTATATGATAATATGGATGTATTACAAATTTACAAATTTCAACTGCAGGTGCAGAATTTTGTTCACTTTTAGGCAACTCCCCAAGAACACATATTTAGAGCATCTCCAAACAATTCTTCTTAAATTCACCCGAACCCCTGCCCCACCCTTACACAGCGGCACCGTCGTCCTGTGAGAACAGGTCGGTCTTTAGACCTGTGCTTTACGCGGGATGAGAGGGGATTTTTTAACCTCAAAGATGAAATTCGCTCCCACGAGAAGTTGAACCCAGGACCTGATGAGTGCCGCCGGGACGCTCTAACCAGTTAGACTAGAGACCCTTTCAATCAAAATTGTTCTCTATATTTTTTTCACCCTCCAATAACTTTTCTATATCTTAGTTGCACTGGGTTAGCCAAATTCTGTACTACACTATTAATAAGAAAAGATATAGAGGGGCTTTTCGAATTGTTCTTGCTCACTCCATACTTAACCCGCTGACATCTCCCAACCGTCGACTATTATATAGATCTCATATTCATATAGACTATATATAATTAATATAATATAAAGCTAATAAATTGTCAGCACGTTGGTTTCACCTGTCATCTTTCTTCTAGATGGTCTCGGCAACGCGATTTTCTGCGCGGTCACGGACAAACTTTTGAATTCCAGCACAAGCTCGATCCGTCCATCGTTAACGCGTTCCTGTCCAACTACTTACTAAAGTTGCCGTGGAAATTAACACGGTTAAGCCAGGCCAAGTGATCGAATTCCAACCCTATCTACATGCATGTCGCTATACTGTAGGGCATAGGCTACTAACAGTAACACTCTCTTACTCGTCAAGTGTTTTTACGTCTCTCGCAACTACTACATTCGTTCGGTCTTTAAAACCAAAAAAAAATTCCATTGGTTAAAAAAATTATGTTTTTAGTTCTTCTCAATTGCTCTTATTTTTTTAACCAAAATTTAATAGAAAAATATTTAATATGTAAAACCTCAAATAAATCCACTAGCTATCAAGACATATTTGGTGAATTATATAATTATACATATGTTGATACATTTTTCTAATAATTCTATAACAATATAATTTCTTGGTTATTATCTTCTTGCGTACTCATCGTGGGATTAGTCAATGCAAGAGCAGGTGGCTGTTGAGATGGCGCCGGTCTAAATGCTCCTGCACTGGTTGCCTTCGCCGCCCCGCGCACGCGCCTCATCAGCCGGACGGCGACATGCATGTGCAATGTGCTGCCCTGCTTCGCACGGAAACGGACCTTGGGACGTTGGTTGGGTGGAACACTTGCTAGGTTCCTTAGGAGGTAAGGATAGTGGCATGTTCGCTTGTGTTATGAGCCGTATTATTTTAGTGAACGAATAACATTTTTCTCTCACAACAAATCAGCGAACAGTACTTTCAGCCATGGCTTTTCAGCAAAGCGAACAGGGCCAGTGCCTTGGCCATGAGCCCGTGACCGTGATGCGAATCAAGAAAGCCGGAGAAGGCGCGAGGGAGGAGAGAGGAGACGAACAAGGGCGACGACGTGCCAACTTGCCGAGCGGGCTCGCAATCTATCGTTCTCGTTCACGTTCACGTTCACGTTCCCGCGAGGCTGTTCCGTTGGTTCGTGCCGACCAGCGTGCCAGATCGTCCAGGCAAGCTCGGCGCGGCACTTGGAAACTTGGAATGGGAGGTCACACTGCCGCGGCTAGGGCTTTGCCTTTGCATGCTGCCATCGCCAATTGATATTGCCAACTGAACCGGCCGAACTTTTCATGCCGCCTGCTTGAACGTGAAATTTACCTTTTCTAGAGCGCACCTTAAAAGATCATACAGTAACTTTTTTCCGTCTGAGCTCGGGTGAAAATACTCCTTTATTTATTTATATCCAGAAAGTATAACTCATGTTTTAGAATTTTCTAAATCAGACCATTTTTTGCTTAATATAATCTATACTAAAAAAAAGTACTAGTTTTTTTATGATAATAATAAATGAGCATTATTAAAGCATCACGAATTACGCATAGGCTTCGGACCACACACCCGTGGGCTGGCTTTCTTTAACAGAGAAGATAGTGCAGATCAAGCGGACACAACTAATGCCTCTAAACATTGGTTTTGCCTGTCTCTGCTAACTTGTGCTGTAGTGGTAGTATAGTAACAAAATACGGTGGTTTCCTTCAAACAAAAATAATATACGGAAGAAGAGAAATGTTTAACTCGGCATAAGAAATGTTTTGTTCTCAAAGTCTTGATAAAAAGGTCAAGTGAAAATCACGTACATATATACCACATAGGAGTATAGGACTAGGAGTAAAAAAACAACTCATTATACTTTATTAGGCACATGCAGATGCAGACACACCACCGAACGACACACACTACGTACTCTCGACGGAGCTGACGGCATGCAGACACATCATCACATACCGGCACATCATACATACATTCGCCCGCGGGCTGCATCTGCATGCACATGCTGCTTCTGGGAGCAAGTACAGAGCACAGAGCAGCACGCAGGGAGATCGAACAGCAGCAGCTCGATCAGCCGAAGAAGTGGTGCTTCTTCTTCCCCCTCGCCGCGGCCGGACTCCGCCTCCTCCTCGGCGTCCTCCGCCGCGTCCTTGGCCTCCTTCTTGTCGTGGTGCTCGTGGAACGCGAAGCCGCCGCTGCCCAGGGCCGCCACCGCCGCCACGCCCTCCTCGATCTTGTGCCGCTGCGCGCGTGCTCCGGGTCCTTCTTCGCCTCGTGCCTCTCGTACTGCAACCACGCAACGCATGCAAGGACATGGACACAAGTTGTCAATATGAACGTGACAGCAGCCACAAGCACAAGCATGGCGTCACTTAATTCGTGTGTGTAAGGAAATGCATGGACGTTAGTTAGTTACCAGGGCGAAGGCGCCGGCGGCGAGGGCGCCCATCTCGCCGAGGTGCTCCTTGTGCTTGTGCTCTTTCTCCTCCTTCCTGTACTTCTCCGAGTCGTCCGGGAGGAACCGTACTCGCCGTCGTCCTCGCCACCAGACTTGCTGTTGTACCCGCCGCCACCGCCGGTGTAGGCGTCGTCGCCAGAGGACTTGCTGTTGTACCCGCCGCCGGTGCCACGGCGGCCGTATTCGTCGTCGTTGGTGCCCGATTCGTTGTACCCACCGTCGTAGTCGTCCTTGCCGGACTTGTTGTACCCACCGCCGCCGGTGCCACGGCCGTACTCGTCGCCGCCGGACTTGTTGTAGCCACCTTCGCCACGGCCGTAGTCATCAGTTCTGGACTTGCTGTTGTAGCCGCTGTCGTAGTCGTCGCCGGCGCCGGACCTGCCGTAGCCGCTGCGGCCGTACTCGTCAGCCATCGTTGACGCTTTCTTAATTAGCTAATCACGTTCAGGTGTTTCGGTACAGAAGAATAGTAGTAGAGCTTGCTTGCAGTTGCACTTGCACTATGTTCCCAACAACACAGCAATGGAAAAGATAGTAATAGTCTAATAATTCTATAACAATATAATTTCTTGGTTATTATCTTCTTGCGTACTCATCGTGGGATTAGTCAATGCAAGAGCAGGTGGCTGTTTAGATGGCGCCGGTCTAAATGCTCCTGCACTGGTTGCCTTCGCCGCCCCGCGCACGCGCCTCATCAGCCGGACGGCGACATGCATGTGCTGCTCTGCTTCGCACGGAAACGGACCTTGGGACGTTGGTTGGGTGGAAAACTTGCTAGGTTCCTTAGGAGGTAAGGACAGTGGACCTGTTCGCTTGTCTTATGAGTCGTATTATTTCAGCGAACGAATAACGTTTTTCTCTCATAATGAATCAGCGAACAGTACTTTCAGCCATGGCTTTTCAGCAAAGCAAACAGGACCAGTGCCTTAGGCCATGAGCCCGTGACCGTGATGCGAATCAAGAAAGCCGGAGGGGAGGCGAGAGGAGACGAACAAGGGCGACGACGTGCCAACTTGCCGAGCGGGCTCGCAATCTATCGTTCTCGTTCACGTTCACGTTCCCGCGAGGCTGTTCCGTTGGTTCGTGCCGACCAGCGTGCCAGATCGTCCAGGCAAGCTCGGCGCGGCACTTGGAAACTTGGAATGGGAGGTCACACTGCCGCGGCTAGGGCTTTGCCTTTGCATGCTGCCATCGCCAATTGATATTGCCAACTGAACCGGCCGAACTTTTCATGCCGCCTGCTTGAACGTGAAATTTACCTTTTCTAGAGCGCACCTTAAAAGATCATACAGTAACTTTTTTCCGTCTGAGCTCGGGTGAAAATACTCCTTTATTTATTTATATCCAGAAAGTATAACTCATGTTTTAGAATTTTCTAAATCAGACCATTTTTTGCTTAATATAATCTATACTAAAAAAAAGTACTAGTTTTTTTATGATAATAATAAATGAGCATTATTAAAGCATCACGAATTACGCATAGGCTTCGGACCACACACCCGTGGGCTGGCTTTCTTTAACAGAGAAGATAGTGCAGATCAAGCGGACACAACTAATGCCTCTAAACATTGGTTTTGCCTGTCTCTGCTAACTTGTGCTGTAGTGGTAGTATAGTAACAAAATACGGTGGTTTCCTTCAAACAAAAATAATATACGGAAGAAGAGAAATGTTTAACTCGGCATAAGAAATGTTTTGTTCTCAAAGTCTTGATAAAAAGGTCAAGTGAAAATCACGTACATATATACCACATAGGAGTATAGGACTAGGAGTAAAAAAACAACTCATTATACTTTATTAGGCACATGCAGATGCAGACACACCACCGAACGACACACACTACGTACTCTCGACGGAGCTGACGGCATGCAGACACATCATCACATACCGGCACATCATACATACATTCGCCCGCGGGCTGCATCTGCATGCACATGCTGCTTCTGGGAGCAAGTACAGAGCACAGAGCAGCACGCAGGGAGATCGAACAGCAGCAGCTCGATCAGCCGAAGAAGTGGTGCTTCTTCTTCCCCTCGCCGCGGCCGGACTCCGCCTCCTCCTCGGCGTCCTCCGCCGCGTCCTTGGCCTCCTTCTTGTCGTGGTGCTCGTGGAACGCGAAGCCGCCGCTGCCCAGGGCCGCCACCGCCGCCACGCCCTCCTCGATCTTGTGCCGCTGCGCGCGTGCTCCGGGTCCTTCTTCGCCTCGTGCCTCTCGTACTGCAACCACGCAACGCATGCAAGGACATGGACACAAGTTGTCAATATGAACGTGACAGCAGCCACAAGCACAAGCATGGCGTCACTTAATTCGTGTGTGTAAGGAAATGCATGGACGTTAGTTAGTTACCAGGGCGAAGGCGCCGGCGGCGAGGGCGCCCATCTCGCCGAGGTGCTCCTTGTGCTTGTGCTCTTTCTCCTCCTTCCTGTACTTCTCCGAGTCGTCCGGGAGGAACCGTACTCGCCGTCGTCCTCGCCACCAGACTTGCTGTTGTACCCGCCGCCACCGCCGGTGTAGGCGTCGTCGCCAGAGGACTTGCTGTTGTACCCGCCGCCGGTGCCACGGCGGCCGTATTCGTCGTCGTTGGTGCCCGATTCGTTGTACCCACCGTCGTAGTCGTCCTTGCCGGACTTGTTGTACCCACCGCCGCCGGTGCCACGGCCGTACTCGTCGCCGCCGGACTTGTTGTAGCCACCTTCGCCACGGCCGTAGTCATCAGTTCTGGACTTGCTGTTGTAGCCGCTGTCGTAGTCGTCGCCGGCGCCGGACCTGCCGTAGCCGCTGCGGCCGTACTCGTCAGCCATCGTTGACGCTTTCTTAATTAGCTAATCACGTTCAGGTGTTTCGGTACAGAAGAATAGTAGTAGAGCTTGCTTGCAGTTGCACTTGCACTATGTTCCCAACAACACAGCAATGGAAAAGATAGTAATAGTCTAATAATTCTATAACAATATAATTTCTTGGTTATTATCTTCTTGCGTACTCATCGTGGGATTAGTCAATGCAAGAGCAGGTGGCTGTTTAGATGGCGCCGGTCTAAATGCTCCTGCACTGGTTGCCTTCGCCGCCCCGCGCACGCGCCTCATCAGCCGGACGGCGACATGCATGTGCTGCTCTGCTTCGCACGGAAACGGACCTTGGGACGTTGGTTGGGTGGAAAACTTGCTAGGTTCCTTAGGAGGTAAGGACAGTGGACCTGTTCGCTTGTCTTATGAGTCGTATTATTTCAGCGAACGAATAACGTTTTTCTCTCATAATGAATCAGCGAACAGTACTTTCAGCCATGGCTTTTCAGCAAAGCAAACAGGACCAGTGCCTTAGGCCATGAGCCCGTGACCGTGATGCGAATCAAGAAAGCCGGAGGGGAGGCGAGAGGAGACGAACAAGGGCGACGACGTGCCAACTTGCCGAGCGGGCTCGCAATCTATCGTTCTCGTTCACGTTCACGTTCCCGCGAGGCTGTTCCGTTGGTTCGTGCCGACCAGCGTGCCAGATCGTCCAGGCAAGCTCGGCGCGGCACTTGGAAACTTGGAATGGGAGGTCACACTGCCGCGGCTAGGGCTTTGCCTTTGCATGCTGCTGCGGGTCTGAGCTCGGGTGAAAATACTCCTTTATTTATTTATATCTAGAAAGTATAACTCATGTTTTAGAATTTTCTAAATCAGACCATTTTAGGTTTAATATAATCTATACTAAAAAAATACTAGTTTTTTTATGATAATAACAAATGAGCAATATTAAAGCATCACGAATTACGCATAGGCTTCGGACCATATACACCCGTGGGCTGGCTTTCTTTAACAGAGAAGATAGTGCAGAAGCGGACACAACTAATGCCTCTAAACATTGGTTTAGCCTGTCTCTGCTAACTTGTCCTGTAGTGGTAGTAGTAACAAAATACGGTGGTTTCCTTCAAAAAAAATAATATACGGAAGAAGAGAAATGCTTTACTCGGGATAAGAAATGTTTTGTTCTCAAAGTCTTGATAAAAAGGTCAAGTGAAAATCACGTACATATATACCACATAGGAGTATAGGACTAGGAGTAAAAGAAAACAACTCATTATACTTTACTAGTATAATGCCCGTGCTACCGCCACGACTTTACTTAGGAATGCATATGAAAACAACCGAACAATGATTTTTTTTCCATAGTTCAACTTTTACACAATTTATATTTTGAGCATGTATACAGTCCGGGAAATAATTTTGCATAAGAAGGCATGATAAAGGTATTTGTCGCATTAACCATCTAAGTTACATTCTGCCTAAGTCCTTAAACATGACTTAGAGATCTTCAGGGAAGCTGTCAAAACATTCCTTAAACATGACTTGGTTTTATTATATAGAAATAAAGAAAGTTACTAATACTTAATTAATAAACTCGAAGTGTACATGTGTCTGTGGTCGCTGTGCCAATGCCAACATGTATATCATTCCCATGTGCATCTGGTGTGATATTTTCCTTGTCCAATATAATTGGCATGTTTTAGTCCATCTTGGAGTGATTAGTACCTGCATATATTTTTGTCAGTTGTACAAAAGTTGGTTTTATTATAGTAGAGATAAAGAAAGTTACAAATAACTCGAAGTATTCCTTGGTCTGTTATGGTCGTGTTAGCAATGCCAGCATGGCTATGATTTTTGTGTAGGCAGTCTATGGCCTCAACTCGGTTTGCATTTGTGTCATTTTATATGATTGGTTTGCACAACGATTGATCATGGGATGTGATTAATCATCAGGGTTAATGGTGTAAATGTAAGTATCGAAGAAATTAAGTACCCGTGGGTGATGATGTGGGCACTGTTTTAGTCAAAGCACAGGAAGTGCTCGGTAGTCACTATTTACTACTCACATTGTTTCCTCTTCATCTCTTCTATTTGTTCACTGAACATCTCACCTCGACGAATCCGTTGTTGCATGTTTCTTTCCTCCCTCTTCCGCGAGGCCTCATCTAAAGTGGGCGTTTGGATATATATAGGAAATCAGGAAGACACCCCAAAAGTGTTGTATATACATAATGAAAGCATACCTGCGATGTTGGTGATATCGCTTAGCGCATCGCATGCATCTTTTGGCGTAGACATTGCGAAGTACCAGCGAGGATCTTCAGCCGGCAGAAGCGGCGGGCAGAAATAGAGTTATTATAGCTGCTGTTAGAGAAATAGAGTTATTATAGCTACAAATTGATCATTCTTCAGGCAATTATCTTAAGTTATGTTACCTCTGTGTGCTTCTCAGCTAGGTGCAGGATGAAGCGACCTCAGGCAGACAGGATGCGCAGAAGGTCGTGGCCGTTGCCGTCGTGGTTCACGGCGCGCCGGGCATTGAGTCCCGCCGTCCAAGACACCGTCGAGGCGCGTGCTGATAAACATGAAATTGAAGCAAAATTTGTTGGGAATCAGTGCATCACAGCAACAACCACCTGATGCAGTGATACACCTACTACTAAGGTCCACAGAAAGACAAGACAACATAAAAAATCCAGATGCTGGAAATATATAAGGACATAATGAAGAACCTTTTTTGGCACACCTAATAAGTGATAATTATTGATAAGCTGACATGATTATGGACCCCATAGAAATAGGCAACTATCAAACATCCTGTGTTAATTAATCTGGATGCATGTGACGCAGACAAAACTTATGGATATGCAGGACATCACCCAAAATAAGGATCTTGTATCTGTAAAACTATTTTTTGATGAAAGTATCTACCACCTTAATCAGATTTGGCTACCTTCTTTTTCGCCATCGCTTTCCAGCTTGCATAAGACAAGGTTCACTGTCCACGAGTTTTCTTTGCTTGTGTGACTTAGAGATCCAATCCTGAGACAAGGCAAGAGGACCCGAAACAATTATTCCTAGCACTGACAATTCTTGGTGGCTCCTCATGGCAGCTCCTCGTGGTGGCAGCGGACGGCACAGCAGTGGGACGCACATGAACATCAGCAGCACCCGAGAACAGCAGCTGTACGTCGAGTTGTACATCGAGAACATCAAGGTCTCAGGCGTGAGAAGACAAACCTGATGCTGCTCGGCACGACGGCCTAACGACGTTCCGCACGACCATGCATGGTGTCAGCGACCTGGATGCGATGATGAAGGTAGGCAGGAATGGCCGCCCTACGGCAGCGGTAGCGGGATCCACACGGCCGTCGCCTCTGACCGGCACGAAGCTGGACTCGTCGAACGTTGGCCGGCGCCGGGGTTCTTCACTCGCCTCCCTGGATCGGTGCAGCGTCGGGCAGCAGGGTTTACTCGATCGGCGCGGCGGCGGCACAATGGATGCGGCAGCGGCGCGATGGCCACGGGCGATCGGCACGGCGGCGGCACCGCAGGTTTCGAACGGTGTTTTTTTATTCGCTCATGATTACCTCGGTGACGATTACAGGCTTCGATCGTGCGCGGTCTCTGGTCGCGAGGCGTGAGATGGAGGGTGTGGGGTGGCGGGGGTAAGAAGCCTGGCATCACACATCAAACAGTGGCCGTCGGATTTGCTTTGGATGTTTTATTAGCCCTTGATTTTAATGGAGACGAATTTCCGTGTGTATTTTTCTAGGTGCACAATGGTTGGAGGCTCTCAGCGGGGGACGTTTTTCTGGGAGAACCTAATATAATTTTGATTAGTCCATTATAGTAGAGATTTGGCACATGCAGATGCAGACACACCACCGAACGATACATGCTACGTGCTCTGGACAGAGCTGACGGCATGCAGACACACCATCACATACCGGCACATCATACGTACATTCGCCCGCGGGCTGCATGCACATGCTGCTTCTGGGAGCACGTACAGAGCACAGAGCAGCACGCAGGGAGATCGAACAGCAGCAGCTCGATCAGCCGAAGAAGTGGTGCTTCTTCTTCCCCTCGCCGTGGCCGGACTCCGCCTCCTCCTCGGCGTCCTCCGTTGCGTCCTTGGCCTCCTTCTTGTCGTGGTGCTCGTGGAACGCGAAGCCGCCGCTGCCCAGGGCCGCCACGCCCTCCTCGATTTTGTGCTGCTGCGCGTGCTCCGGGTCCTTCGCCTCGTGCCTCTCGTACTGCAACCACGCAACGCACACTACAACAGACGCGTGCTTTACCGAGTTCAATTACACTCAGCAAAGAAGGCTTTGCACTTGGCAAAACCTTTGCCGAGTGCTACACTCGGCAAAGAGCCGTCGGCATATTCCTTCACGGCAAAGGCTTCTTTGCCGAGTGCCGCATGTCGGGCACTCGGCAAAGGATTTCCCGAGTGCCACGACAGCACTCGGCAAAGAAAAGCCGCCGTGACGGCCAGGCCATGGTGACGGCCTCTTTGCCAAGTGCCACGCGTTGGCACTCGGCAAAGAAATGTGTTTTTTATTTTTTTTAAAAAAAATGTTTTGCCGAGTGCCTGCATATGGCACTCGGCAAAGCTTGTTTTCTTTTTTGTTTTTGGATTTTCTTTGCCGAGTGTTGTAGGTAGGCACTCGGCAAAGCAATTTTCTTTGTCGAGTGCCTTGCCCATGGCACTCGGCAAAGCTGGGAAGCGCAGTGTCCCAGATTCCCAGCTTTGCCGAGTGTCATGGTCATGACACTCGGCAAAGAAGTGAAAAAATTCAATTTTTTTTGGGTTTTTAGCCTTCCATCGTTGCAAACAAGATATACATCATATATATATATATATATAACACAACTATATATCACACAAATGTATATCACAATCCACCACAAACACAAACATAGCATACAAGTATCACAGTCTTGACTCCCAAGTCCAAAGTCCAAACACACAAGCATAGTTCACAAAGTTCACAAGTGCATTATATCACAACGGCTGCCATTTGAAGCTCACGGCGACGGTTCGGGTTGGGATGGCCAAACGTGCGATCCCGGCGACCCTCCGAGGTGGTTCGACGCCGCCCCCGATTGATGCTGCACAAAATAGAAGAGATTGCACGTGAACGACAAGAGAAGAGATAAATATGCAAGATAAATATCCGCCACTACCACCACCACCACCACATCACCGCCATCACCAACACTTCACCACCAACACTTCACCACCACCACCACCACACCACCACCACCACCACATCACAACCATGACCACCACCACCACCATGAGCACCACAACATCGGGACCACCACCACCAACACCACACCACCACCACCACTGTGACCACCACACCACCATGACCACCACCACACCACCACCACCACCACTAGGTTTCTCTAGGTTTCACTAGGTTTCTCTAAGTTTCAGCATAGAAAGTAAAACTTCGTACTTATACTCACCGGGGTAGAATCAGGACGTTGTGGAGGTGGATCTGGAGCAAACAGCGTCTGTGGGATCGTCCAACCTTGTTGCTGGCCAATTTGCTGCATGAACTTGATCATCTTGGCCATCTGCCGCTGATCTTGCTCCTGCTGGGCCTCCAAAGCTTGTAGCCTTTGCCGCTCGACCTCCCGCTTGGCCTGTAGTTCCTGCACCTGGGCCTACAGCATTTGACCCCAATGTTTCAATAATGCATAGGTAAGGTATGTAAAAGTCAAAGAACGATGAATGAAACAGGAATGCTTACCTAGAGTGCCGACACCGCGGTCGGCCGTTGGCGTATGGGCACGCTTGAGCTCGTTCTCGATGCTCGGAGCTGGTGGAGAGGAGTAGAGGCCGTGTCGAGGACGCCGTCGCCAATCCAGAACTGCCCATGCTTCTTGCCTTGCCCCACCCTCATCACGAGCTGAGGATCAAGGCGCTCCTCGGTTCTCGGATCGTAGCCTGGCCCATGGACTAACCTTGCCGCCTCTGTGTACGAAGAGAGGCGGGTGTGGACGCTGGAGTTGGTGTACGCCTCAACCGGGGCATCTGGGTCGTACTCGATGTTGGCCGTCGCCTTGCCCATGTTAGCCAGAGCATATGCCTTGAGTTGACCAACTGGCTGGCCACCGTGTGCATCCGACTACGAGAAAGACAACAACATGTGGTTAGAAATGATGCAGAATTGAGCGCGGTTAGATTAGAGCAGTGGCGGAGACTTACATATGCCTTTGCATATTTGCTGAGGCTGCGGCTGCCCTGATGGTGAGGTACACCTGGCATCTGCAAACGCCTATCGCGGGCCTCCTCGTGCTTCTTCTGCCAGTCCCCGTCCAACCAGGTGTCCACAATATATTCCCAGCAATCGGGGTGGGTGGCGCACCAGCTTGGAATCGCCTACAGGACATCAAGTAGACGACATATCAGAAGATCAAATTAGGCATACTTAATCTCAAAAGAAATGAATATTCATGTTTTGTATTTACCTATATGTACTGCTCCCTTGTCAGCGTCATCCGTCTTGCCCCCTCTTTGTTGACACGCCTGAGTAGGAACTTGACGTTGTAGTCTATGTGGGCCTGGATGCGGGACTCGTAGTGCAAGTCCGTGACACGCCTTTTACAGGAAGCGTAAGCCACCTGATACGCACTTTCCTCCTGTCCCTCCTGGATTCTGAAGAAGTCCTGCATAAAGACATGAGGTATCCATTATTTTATTTCAAGAATGTCCAATGAATGCGAGGAATTGAGGAATGTAGTGCAAGAAAGACTTACCCATAACTCGCTAATCACCCGATCTGCCTTGTTTCTATAGCAGATGCCATTATGATCTGGAGCATCCTGCACGAGGGCATAGTGGTCGAACATCTAGGCCGGCTCCCAATCCTGATCTCCTTTCCTAACCAGGCCAGGGAAGTGTTCCTTGCAGAGAAGTCCCAGGATGTCATTCACATTACATGCCGGGGCCACCTGGTCCACAAGCACCCAGTTCCTGCACAAGTGGTCCACAATAGTTATTACTTGTTATTATGATTTTTCAACATATCAAATGAAGAACATATGAAGTTACTTACTTATCGCCCTCGGGTGCAATCAGTGGGCGCCTCTCAACAGGTATCGGTCGCTTCGGGAGCTTTGCGGGACCTCACTGGTAGGGCTTCGACGTACCAGAGGAAGTGGAACCCCCTACCGTCGTTACCTCCTCGTCCTCCGTCGCTAGAACCGCCTCCTCGTCCTCCATCCGTGGACCCCCGTCCCCGTCCACCGTGTTCTAAAGGTCGTCGTCGTGCACAGGGTCGTGTGAGGAGCTGCGCCCGTGGTTAGTCAACGGCTCCCGCCTGGGCCTGCCTCTCGGCCTCCTCGGCCTCTCTGACGCCTCCGCCTCCTCAGCCGCTGCCATGTCCCTCCGGTTGGTGTAAACCGAGGGGCAGCTCCTCCTAGTGGGCCCCATCACCTGCAATTAAAAAGAGTAAACCAGTAAGTACAGATAAACGAGACGTACTTAGTAAAAGATGCAAAATAAAGAAAATGTAATTACAAAATAACATAGTATTACATGTATTCCTAATATTCTTCATGATCGGGATTATCTGGACGATAGGTATCGTCATCACTATCAAGATTGTCCAAATCCTCAACAGCCTCATCCTCATCGTTGTCATTGCCTAGTCGTGGTCCATCAAGCATTTCCAAGTCCTTCGGATCATGCACCTCAGTTGTAGCGTCCTCGTCAACAACCCATTCCTCGTCTGCTTCCATTTCGATCTCTCCGGTTAAGTCTATCTCAAGCATCCCTGGTAGCCCCTCTTCTTGTTGATAGAACTCTCCGTCATGCGTGTTTGGGTTCTAGTTGTAATCATCAGGGTTTGGGCGAGGTAATCTACCGTGTGATGATACCTTGTGCACAATATACCAACCCTGAAGACGTGGGTCGGTTTTGCAAGCATATGGACAATAATAAACTTGTGTGGCTTGTTGAGCCACAATATAGACATCTTCTCTTGGATAGAAGAAATCATGTCGAGTTTCGACTATCCCAAGTTGATGGGACTTTCTCGATACTGCAGGATCAAACCACTGGCATTTGAATATGACAGGATTAAGTGCTTTGGAACCACGGTAGTCGAGCTCGATATTTCTTCAATCGTCCCATAATACTCCTCCCGATCAAGGTGCCCGCGTAAATACTCGGTATTCGTGGTCCTTGGATTGGGACGACTCTGCTTGCAGTACCTTGTTGTGTGGAAGCGATATCCATTCACGCTATAAGCGTTAAATGACAAGACCTTATAGTCAAAGCCATTGGCCACCGTCGTAATTCAAACTTATAGACACATCCCTTTGGCAATCGCAAAGTTCAAGCAGGAGAGAAATGAAATCGGGCAACTTGGAACGTCAAACTTAGTAAGAGCTAAGTTGGCGGTACCTTTTTTGGAACCATGTAATGAAATCAAAGTAACCATGTTGAAGAAGGGTCTCTCGTTCATGGTCAGAAGGTGGCCTTGAATGATGCCAGGATTCATCAAAAAAATTCTCTACACCGACAAGGAACAATGTTGTTGGATGTACAAAAGTTACGAAGTATGTAACAAGTTCGTTGAGAACTTACCCCAGATACGTTTCCACTTCGTCAAGGTTGGTCAACACGTAGAGCATGATCTTGCACCACTCTTCATAGCTCAAGGTCTTTGTGGTCGCTCCACTTACTCTCCCGCGTGGCCCTTTGAAAAGGCTAAGGGTCGATTCATTTTCGTCCTCGTTGTACCGAGTGGGTGGATTATGCACGCTACGAAGGTTCTCATTATAGTATGTTGTTGTGAAGTTTGACACCTCCTCATGAATGAATGCCTCAGCAATGGAAGCCTCAATCCTACCTTTGTTTCCACATTTCTTGCGAATAGTCTTTAGACATCTCTCGATTGGATAGCACCAACGGTTCTGCATGGGCCCCCCCCATTCGTGCCTCGGACGGGAGGTGCAAAATCAAATGCTGCATTGACAAGAAAAAGCCAGGTGGAAAGATCTTCTCCAACTTACAGAGCAACAGAGGTGCCGCTTTTCCAACTCCTCATCCACTTTCACAGATACCTCCTTGGCACAAAGCTGGCGAAAGAAAAAGCTCAACTCTGTTAGCACCTTCCAGACATTCTCAGGGACGTAGCCTCAAACCATCGATGGAAGAAGCCGCTCAATCCATATGTGGTAGTCATGACTCTTCATCCCTAAGACTCGGCCAGTCTCTGGGTTTGCTCCCCTCCTCAAATTCGCTGCATACCCATCCGGGAACTTTAACGTCTGCATCCATTGTATCACTTCATACCCTGCTTCTTTTCTAAGACGAATCGGCCTTAGGCCTTTTCCATGGCTTGCCGCCTCTTGGAGGCAGCATCTCTAGCTTTGGTCTATCGTGATAGCGCTGCAGTCCACTCGGCCTTAGGGTTGTCCCAACGCATGCATGGACATGGACACAAGTTGTCAATATGAACGTGACAGCAGTCACAAGCACAAGCATGGCGCCACTTAATTCGTGTGTGTAAGGAAATGCATGGACGTTAGTTAGTTACCGAGTATGAAGCGCCGGCGCGAGGGCGCCCATCTCTCCGAGGTTCTCCTTGTGCTTGTGCTCTTTCTCCTCCTTCCTGTACTTCTCCGAGTCGTCCGGGAGGAACCATACTACGCCGTCGTCCTCGCCACCAGACTTGCTGTTGTACCCGCCGCCACCGCCGTGTAGGCGTCGTCGCCGAGGACTTGCGGTTGTACCGCCGCCGCCGGTGCCACGGCGGCCGTATTCGTCGTCGTTGGTGCCCGATTCGTTGTACCCACCGTCGTAGTCGTCCTTGCCGGACTTGTTGTACCCACCGCCCCCGGTGCCACGGCCGTACTCGTCGCCGCCGGACCTATCGTACCCATCGCCACCGCTGTGGCCATAGTCGTCGCCGGCGGACTTGTTGTAGCCACCTTCGCCACGGCCATAGTCGTCGCTGCCGGACTTCTTGTAGCCACCTTCGCCACGGCCGTAGTCGTCGCCGCCGGACTTGTTGTAGCCACCTTCCCCACGGCCGTAGTCATCAGTTCTGGACTTGCTGTTGTAGCCGCTGCCGTAGTCGTCGCCGGCGCCGGACCTGCCGTAGCCGCTGCAGCCGTACTCGTCAGCCATCGTTGACGCTTCTTAATTAGCTAATCACGTTCAGGCGTTTCGGTACAGAAGAATAGTAGTAGAGCTTGCTTGCAGTTGCACATGCACTATGTTCCCAACAACACAGCAATGGAAAAGTATTTATATATAGAAGGTCTGGGAGAGACATCTCTGGTAACTCATGGCTAATATGCTGGACACGTCCTAACAATGTCTGGCAGGTAGTTGTTAATTCTAGTTGATTTCCCTTAATCTCGAAATGGAGATATTTTCTGCCGACAGAAACTAGTTGGCTAGTTGCTTGGTTGTCGACATCATCTGGTTGGGCTTGTTGGGCAATGGATTAAATAATAATGAATGAGGGTTTATTCCCTAAAATCCGAATCTTTTTTTTCTTGAATACACAACTAGTTGCATATCATTGCATTAAGGAAAGTGAACAGATAACTTTCAAAAAAAAAAGGAAAGTGAACAGATTATAATTTTTAATAATCAAACAAGAGCCACTCACAGTTTGCTCTGATATTTTCGCTCAGAAAAAGTGAAATAACTAGATGAAATTCTATAAGTGGAGATGGATATGCTTGTTTTAAAAACATCATCACATTGCTGGAGCAGAGGCCGGATTAATAAGTCATCGCGGTTCGTTATCGGAATGTTACTCATTTGTGCATGCAATAATGCAACTCATTTGTGCATGCAATAATGCAGAGCATGCCATGTATATAGGCTAGCTGTGTGTTATTATACTACCATTAGTATTACTTGGCTGAACCTGTTGCTTAGAACCATCGGTGAAGTAGATCGATCGTGGTGTGTTACGAGATCAGTTAGTGGCTTCGACGAGGAAGAAGGGTGGCGGCCTTCAGGTTGATCCGGCACTTCTTAGGATCGGTGTCTTAGGCGATAGGTGGATACATAGTCGTGCTCGAGTTGGCGTGTTTGGCACAGCTCACCACAGCTTATTTGCCAAACACTTATTTCCAAAACAGCTTCACCCATGATAATAGAGCCCCTTTTAACACCCCTCGTACTTTTATAGACATGATAGAATCCCTCATAATTTTTATAGACATGAAAGTGAGGAAGGAGAGACTTTAGAGGTTGAAGAGATGACTTGAGCCTCCACTTCAATGATTTTTAATTTTCTGATCTGCAACTAACAAGCAATGCACTATCAAAATACATTTTGTGGTGGTTTAGAGTTGTATCCGTTTCGAAACACAGAGCAAATTACATGTTTATTGTTAAGTGTGCCGGCGTAAAATACAGGGTGGTGTCGGAGTAGAATACAGACTAGTGTTGTGATATGTTTCAGAATATATACAGAGGAAAATGTGAAAAGAAGAATATGGCTGCACTTACAGTCGCTTGGCTGCACTTACAGTCGCTGGATCTTTTTTCCGAAAATCCAAACTAGAATAAGGGTCTGTCTGGGACAGCTCCACCAACTCTAGATCCACCAAATTCATATCCAGATCTTAAAAAAATGTTTGCCAAATAACTCCAGCTCCACCAGCTCCACTAGTGGATCTACTCCACCAAATTAGTGGATCTTCTGAAGAGGTGCTCCATCAGATCTAACTTTGGTGGAGTTGAGAGAAATCCACTGATTACACAGAAATAACAATTCGATTCGTTGTGTTCCTGTCTTTCGCGTCGTGAGCGCCTTCTCCTCCTGCATCCCATGCCTGGCTGTCGCGAGCCCCGCCCCGACCGCCGGAGCACTGCCCGCGATCGTCACGCCTGCCAGAGCACCCCGCGACCTTCGTGCGCACCGGAGCACCGCTCGCGACCGTCGCGCTCACCGGAGCCCCGCCCACAAGGCCACGCTTGCTTGAGGCTGCCCGGTCAACCTTTAATAAAAGTCATTGGATCTATTTTGTTTTATAATAGAGATGGGATTGTTAGCCCTCCTGGATCTCCAGCACGGGTGAGCCGACTACTCACTAGCCTTGCCGACCACGCACTATCGTTGCCGAGCACACACTATGGATAGAGGTAGAAGAAGGGAGGGAGAACGGAGCATACACACAGCACAAGCACCAGCGTTGGCCGGAGCTCTGCAGATGAGATGGGAAAACTGAACTCGCTCTCTTTACGGAGTTGCAGTGGCAAACTATATATACAACTCTACACATCTAATCCTAGTACACAGACATATCAGGGCGTCATGCTGCTATAGTGACTAGATGTGACAGCAGGACTGACTTTGGCGTCTGCCGCTGCTGTGGCTACAGTGCAGCAGGAGAGCCGTTTGGCCTAGCCCCTGCCCCTGCTGTGGCTACAGAACCACAGCAAGGAGCCTTTTCGGCGTCGCTTTCCCCTGTCGTGCGTTTACACCAGGGAGCAGTAGATTACTTAACAATTCTTCCCCTAATCCTGCTACTAACCCTAGAACCCCCTCCATGCCGATCATCTTCTTTAGCTCCGTGAGTCGAAGACGGCCGAGCGGCTTGGTGAGGACGTCCACGAGTTACCGACCAGTTTCGACGAACTCGATGACGATCTACCCTCCATCGACACAGTCCCTGAGGAAGTGGAATTTGACGTCGATGTGCTTGCTCCGGTCATGGAGAACCGGATTCTTCACGAGAGTGATGGCGGGCTGGTTGTCCACCATCAGTGCTGGTGGGTGAGCTTCCACACCGGTCAGCTCACCCAGCAGCCGGCGCAGCCACAAAGCTTGGCAAGCCGCTGTGGCCGCCGCCACGTACTCTGCCTCACATGTAGACAGCGCCACCTCCTTCTGTTTTAGCGACATCCATCAGATTGGAGCCGACCTGAAGAAAACAAGCACGCCAGAGGTGCTCCGCCGTCCGTCGATGTCACCCGCCATGTCTGCATCGCTGAACACAGTGAGCTGCAACCTACTTCCGCTAGTCTTGGGAAACACGATCCCCTAATCCACCGTCCCCTTGACATAGCGTAACAGCCGCTTCACCGTAGCCTAGTGATCCTCTCTAGGATCCTCTATGAAGCGACTGACGTAGCCCATGGCGAACACAATGTCCGGCCTCGTGTGGACTAGGTAGCGTAGACCGCCGCCGATGCTCCGGTAGAGTGTTGCATCTACCTTCGCTGCGGTATTGGCCTTCGTCAGCTTCAGTCGCTCCTCCATCGGAGTCACGCACGGCTTGCACTCAGCCATGCCGCTCCGCTCCAACAGCTTCGAGGCGTACGCGCTCTGACCGAGTGTGAGCGCCTCCTTCCCCTGTATCACCTCGATGCCGAGGTAGTAGGAGAGCGCGCCGAGATCGCTCATTCAAAAATGAGCCGCCATCTCGTGCTTGAAGCTATCAATGTCCTCCGCACGTGTGCCGGTGACGATCAAGTCGTCCACATACATGTCGACGACAAGCTCCTCCTTCCCCCATCGCCACATGTAGAGCGTGTGCTCGGTTGCGCACCGTGTGAACCCAAGCTCGCCCAGCGTGGAGTCACGCTTGGCATTCCACGCTCGCGGGGCCTACCGCAACCCGTAGAGCGCCTTGCATAGTGGAGCACTCTGTGCTCTGCTCCCTTTACGGTGAAACCCGGAGGTTGCCTGACGAAGACCGTCTCCGCCAGCTCGCCGTTGAGGAAAGCCAATTTTATGTCCAGGTGATGGACGCGCCAGTCCTTTGCTGCTGCCAAAGCCAGTAGCACTCGGATAGACTCCATGCGCGCTACCGGCGCAAAGACTTCCTCGAAGTCGATGCCCTCGTGCTGGACAAAGCCTCGGGCGATGAGTCACGCCTTGTGCTTGACAATGGCGCCGCGCTCGCCTCGCTTGACCTTGTACACCCACTTCAGGCTAATTGGACGGCATCCTAGAGGTGGATCGACGAGCTCCCAAGTCTTGTTTTCCTCGATCTCCTTCATCTCCTCCAGCATCTCGCCCGTCGCCAATGTGCATCGCGCTCGGCCAGCGCGAACGTGGGTGTTTCCTCTGCACTGACGAGAAGTAGCTCTGGGTCATTGAGCAACCGACCCGCCAGGCCTGAGGGCCCTATGTCGTCGATGATGTCGTCCAGCCTGCGGAACCGCACCTCCTCACCTTTATGGAAGTCATCCACGAACTCAGTGATGTCACTTGGAGGTGAGGCGAACTCGATCGGCGTCGATGGAGTTCCCTGTTCCACCGGAGTGCTCGGCACCCTCGCTACAATGCTCGGCACTACTCTTGGACCGCTCATCACCACTCCTGGAGTGATCGACACCACTACAGGAGTGCTGAGCTCTAGTCTTGGAGTGGTTGGCACCACTGCAAGACCTCTTGGCTCTGCTACGGGAGTGTTCGGCACCCATTCTGGAGTGGTCGGCACCACTGTAGAACCGCTTGGCTCCACTCCTGGAGTGCTCGGCACCCCTCTCGAAATGCTCGGCACCGCCCTAGGAGTGCTCGACTCTGTTGCTGGAGTGCTCGGCACCTCCTCTCTAGCATCTCCACTCCCATGGATGACCAAGTGCTCGACAACGAAGGTGCTGGTGAAGCCACCAACTTTCCCCATGCCCGGACTGTTCTAGTCCTAGGCCGCCTTCTCGTCGAACACGACATCGCACGAGACAACCACCTTGCCTCCGCATGGGTCATAGAGCCGGTACGCCTTGGTACCTTCCGCATAGCCTAGGAGCACCATCGGTGTGCTCCTGTCCTCTAGCTTGGTGAGGACCGACTTCGTCTTCCCGACGTGGGTCGATGCAAATCGAATGCCCGGCGAAAGACACGCTGGCTTGCGCCCATACCAAGCTTCAATGGCGTCACGCCCTTCAAGGCCTTTGTGGGCGCGCGGTTGACGATGAACACCACCGTGGTCACCGCCTCACCTCAGAACCTTGACGGCATGCCCTTGGCCTTCATCATGGATCGATCCATGCCGCCACCATCTGGTTTCGCCGCTCCACCACGCCATTCTGTTGTGGTGAGTACGGCGTGGTGTGGTGTCGCACCACACCCTGACCAACGCAGTACGTAGCAAATTCCACCAAAGTGAATTCACCGCCACAATCAGTCCTCAGCACGCGCAGCTTCTTGTCGC